GGAAGGTAAGTTCCCATGCATTTCCTTATGAAGAAAGGAATGCTGGCCTGTGGGCTTCCATTACAAGCAGTCTAGAAGGAATGCTTCAGGAATCATTTCAGGATAATTTTGCCTCCTATATTGTTAATCAAAATGTTTTAAGCTTTCTATTTTTAGTGAAAAAATAGGTATTTATGTATGCATGCATGTATGTGTTTGTATATAAACCAGAAAATGTTTTTATAAACACTTTAAATTAGAATTGCTCAGATTCCTTAAATCTCTTCCGTATCTTGTTTCCATGGTTGAAGTGGCTATTTTTCAGTAATTAGGAATGTTATGATCATTTAGACTTTATATTTCACCTGTTCAAATTTGGTGATGTCTACTTCCCTAATTTACGTACTGTGTTGCTGCCTCACTTCCTTGGAATATCAACATCAGGTTGATATTTAGGGTCACAGTAGTATGACTCAGGTCTTAGCTAATGTAACAATTGGCTAACTTTGGGGAAATTTTTTAGCTTCAATTTTTATTTTACATATTTCTTTCCTGTAACTGTCTAAGCACATATCTCCCAGCTGTATTTTTTCTAGAATCTAAGCAGCCTGCATGTAGTGTAGACTATAACACATCCATCATTAGTACTCCCAGTAACTGAAGCAGTTAGGCCACACATTTAGGGCTGGAAACCACAAAAGTTTATTCTCTTGTATTCAATGAAAATTTCAAAGAAACATGAGCTATTGTTACTTTTTGTTGTTGATTTGGACATAAGATAAATGTATTGCTTCCTGGTATAGAATGGTTGGTTTTTAAGGTAAAGAATTGAACATAGAGGAAAGTGCCCTTTGTGTAATTAAAAAAAAAAAACTTCTAAAAATTAAGGTATTCTTACACTTATTGACAGTACACATAGTAGCAGATGTGTGTGTGCTGTGGCGTGTGTGGAGGTCAGAGGACCACTTCCTGGGGCTCTCTCTCCCTGCCGTGTCCTTCCCAGGGTTGAGCTCAGAGCATCGTTTATGATAAGCATCCGTACCCCTGAGCCATCTTGCTGACCTTTTAAAGATTTTTTTTTTTAAGTTGGAATTATTTTATACTTGCAAAAAAAAATGATCTACACAGTACAAAAAATTCTTATATACCACATATATATTTATTCCGACCTCCCTGAATTTAACATCTTCCAGAAATATAGTATAATTATTAAAATTAGGGACCCGGGGGGCTTAGCTTGTTCCTGAAATCCTGATTCCCTGGAGACCAAGTGGAATATCTGAGTTCTAGGACAAGAACTTGGCTATATAGCAGAAAATGTCTCAAAAAGTAAAAAGAAACTGCCACAAAATAAGGAAATGGATATAAGTACACTACTTTGTGAAGTCTGTATACCTTGTTTAAAATTCGCCAGTTGTATTTTTAATGTTGTTTTTCCTCCAGGATGGACACAAGCTGTGCCTGTAGTCTTCATGCTTCCTTAGTCTCTTTACTCTAAAGGTTCCTCGTCTGTGTCCCTCCCTTCCTGTTTTCCATACCTGTCCTTTGAAGAGTGCTGGCCAGTTAGTTTGTGGATGACCCCCACACGGTCTGCTTGGTGTCATGTACTTCCTTCCTAGTGCTTCCTGTCAGGACGAAAGGGGTGCCAGTTTATTCCTTTTCATTAGGGCATTTACTCCAGCCACTTGGTTAAGATAGGCCTACCAGGTTTGTCCATCATAAATTCTGTTTTCCTTTGTGCTCATAAGTATCTTACAGAAATATTTAAGGTTATATAATTATATAAGCTTTTACTCTGTATGTATGTGTTCATTAGTTTTAGCATCCATTAACATTTTTTCCCTAAAACATTTACTTGTGATGTTTACCCAAGTAGTTTTTTTTTTAACATCATGCTTCCTGTATTTTTTCCAGGTTGAATCCTGTTGTTGGGAAAAGATTATAAATACTTGTTAGTCATTTTCTGCTTTCTTTTTTAATCAAGAAATCAGCTGTACTGTATTTAGTTACAAATGGAAGAGTATTTTTTAAGGCAAAATATCATTTTAAAAATTAACTGTTTAGAAGCTTAAAAATAGTTTCACAATTTGTGTCAATATAAGTTTTGTTTTTGTGGTGCTGGGCAATACAAATTTTTTAAAACATTCTTATGAGTAGGTTTTATACTAAGTATTCAGAGACTTCATTTTTAAATTAATATTTGGTTTATTACTTATAAATTGCAACTAGTTCTTCCTTAACTTCTGAAGTCAGAGGATAAACCATATGTAAATGCAAAGACTGTAACATAATGCAAGTCCTGTAGCACAAGCAGCCATTGTTGTACACAGACAGCATCCCAGAAACTCGGGGCAGCACTTTGCACAGGCGGGTAATGCTCAGCTCCACTAACACAGTACCATGGAGAAAAAGGAGTGACTGGATCTTAAACTGAATTTATGTTTAATATATTTTACATTTAAACATTTAAATATTTAGACTTTCTCAGACTCTTTTTTTCCTTCATTCAATTATAAAAGCTAATGTCTTAGTCAGGCTTTCCTTTCCTTTTCATTGAGTTGTGTTAAGTGCACATTCATCATCTCTAGTGTCCACCATCGCTGGTTACATTGGTCCAAGTCAGAGTCCTGAAATAGAGCAGGGTTTAAACAGAGGGCAAAGGATGTGCTCATCTAAGCAGCTTTAGTCAAGGTGTGCTCCTGCCCATGTTAACCCATTCTTGTCTGAATTTCAGTCTCATCCTGTGAGGTGGTTTCATACACTGTTAGAACTGGGTTTGGGTCTAGATGAAAAATGAAAACAACAGATTTAGCAAATAAAATTAATACATTTCATTTTGTACATACCACTCAAAAACTGTGAAGATTGGGTTAAGAAAATAGGTTTAGCGATGTGAGAAGTGAGAACACCTTCAGGCACACACATCCCAGATACATGGTATTATACATTCAATAGTCAATTGTTCATAGTCAATACAGCAAAAGTCACGCTTTTATTGGAAAGGAGGCAAAGATGATGCTATTTATTTTATAAACATATTTTAAAAGAATTAACATCTCAAAATTTAATTAAAAGCTTTCCTTAGAGATATCTTTAGTTAAAAAAAAATGTTATACTTACAAGTAAATGCCGTGCCTCTATCAGCACTAAGCAAAAACTGGCCCTCAGTTTCACTTTCTTAGTATATTTGAAAAGACATGCAAAGAAGCTACGATTATGGGCCAGTCAGTCTTCAAGTCCGAGTTCTAATTTTGTGGGTGCGCTTACTTTTCTAGTAGTCTGCAGCACTGAGTGTCAGTGCGTGGAGAATAGCCCCAGTTGTGGCACAAGGAAAAGGAGAAACTGGACTTTGACCATGTGCACATTCTTCTCCCACAGAAGACTTAAGGGAAATTAGTGAAGCTTCCTTCACAGGCAACGCTGGCTAGAAAGATTTAGTGCTAATCTTTTGCAGTTCCCCGACTTTCATGTTCTGATTTGTTCTTCCTTTTCTTCAACACACCAATTTTAGATGTTAAAAAGAGAATTATTCCTTTTAATTATTTTGAGGTTTAGAAAATACTAGCAATATTGTTGAAAAATGAACTTTTTTTGTTTGTTTGTTTGTTTGCTTGTATGTCAAGGCAGGGTTTCTCTTTATAGCTTTGGCTGTCCTGAAACTCACTCCATAGACCAGGCTGTACGCGATCTCAGAAATCTGCCTGATTCTGCCTCCTGATTAAAGGTGTGACCACCACCGTGCAGCCAAGGATGAACTTTGTATTAATTAAAACAAGCAGATCTAGTGGAGCTGTTGCCTGAGTAATATATTCCTCACGTAAACAGTAGAGCCGTGAAATGAAAGGTCACTAGCTAATATCACTTGGAAGATGCACTTTTACAGAGAGGGGTGTAGATGTTATCCATAGAGACTTCCATAATGTATAGTGGAAGAATTATTAGAATGGATTGATAGCTGGATATTTTAGTTAATGAGAATAAAATCTCATCTTGGCTGTTGTTAGTGTTAGTTCATCTTTTCAGAACTTTTCATCTGCTTTTGTTTCTTGATAGTGACGATGAATATTAAAATCTCAGCATCCTGGTAATGAGAAATTTATACTAAGATAGTGTTCTTCCTTTTGGAAAGTGAGGTCAGAAGTTGTTTTGGTGGTGGTGGCAGTGTGTGTGCTCATTTATACATTTGCTATATGTACTTAGAGAATAAAACTGTATATATAACTCCCCCACCAGTCAGTATGCTGTTATTAGTTGGGTATTGACTTTTACTTAGGGGTCAGTCACATAAGTGTATAGTGCCTGTGTGACTGACTTTGGTTATGTAAGCTAAAGACACCCCAGAAAGAAAAGTGTTGGCCATAAAGCATATTACATTGATATCTGCTTAGATTGATCAGGTGAGTAAAGTAAGGCCCAAATATCATTTGTGTTCAAAAAACACTTATTATCAGACAGAGTATTCTAGAAAGTCAGAGCTTAGTTCTTAGGAGCTGACCAAAGACAAGTCCTAAAACAGGTCATTTGGGGTATATGTGTGCAGGTTTGAACCTATGACTACTGAGGTAACTCTTCAAAAAGTCATACAAGTTACTGAGTTCAATCTGATGATGAGGTCTAGTTCTTTCACTAAGTAATGTCTAGGGGTTAGAGTAATTTTGTAATTAAAAATGACTGGCCACATTAGGTATGAAAGAAACTTGAACTCTATCCATTAGAACTCTGATGAATTTTTACTCAAATACTTTCCTGAAGAAAACTTATTTTGAATATTTAAATTTTTTAAAATTTTAAGTAATGGTGTTGATCCTATTTAATTTTAGTAATTTACAGAAGTTTGTTTTGAATACTAAAATTTAGTTTATCTGAAAGTGGCATTTGCTTTTTATTATGGTCTTGAATTTTCAAAAGAGGTTCTGATTATAGAAGTTTTTATATAGTAAGGATTGTCTGCCTCATATATAATAAGTTCGAATGAATGTACATACTTTTCAAAATATCTTTTTTCTTTTCTTTTTCCTTAGGTATTTGTGGAAACATTAGATAAATGTTTTGAAAATGTCTGTGAACTGGATTTAATATTCCATGTAGACAAGGTACTGTTTATCATATTGTCAAATATTTTAAGCTTTTTATTTAGGAAAAGCCTTGATTTGTGCTTGTTAGAGTGAAATGCCATTTAATGAACAAAGCTAGAAGAATTCCTACCTAGGAGAGGAAATGACATGGGCAGGGATTGGTGGACATGGTTGCCTCTGCCTGGGTCTGTGGTTGGAGGAACTTGCATTTAAACTGGATTATAAGAACAAATAAATGGAAAAGGATTCTAGAAAAGGAGAGAACCATACTGGCAAAAGTAAAATACAGGCTGTTCTGTAAAGAGGGATTGGTATTAATCAAGAGAACTGGTTTTGAAGAGCTTTTACTGCCTTGAATTTGGGATTTTATTCTGAAGCAGTTTAATTAAGTTTCTCTTGGCAGTGCTGTTGTTTTGTTTGTGTGTGTTTGGAGGACATTTTTTTCCCTGAAGCATGGAAATTAGTTTTGTATGTGTTGAGATTTAAAACAAGTGAGTTAAGAGCTTGTTGGAATAGTCAGAAGGAAATTTCCACCAAGGGAGACTAAGGAAAGATTGGGTCAGTGTCGATGGCTCCTAAAGCTGAAGGTGAGGAGGAGACTGGGTTTCTGGCCACAGTTGCTGCGTGTTTGGAGGTGATGGTCCTAAGACGAAGAGCTCCCAAAGAATGCAGACTGGTTACTGTCCTAAGTGAGTAATCTGATGGCTTGGGGCTTTCTTTTGGTTTGTTTGTTTTGTGTTTTCTTGTTGTTAGCTTTTCAGTTTTTCAGTTACTTATTTGTTATTTTGCATATGTTTTGTCTGCACGTATGTTCGTGCACTACATGCATATGTGGTACCTGCAGGAGCCAGAAGAGGGTGTCCGAGCTGGAGTTACTGACAGTTGTGAGCTGAGATGTGGGAGCTGGAGGTTGAATCTGGGTTAAGAGCAGCCAGGGCTCTTAATCAGAGCCATGTCTCTAGCCCCTGTTGCTATTTTTGAGGAAGGGGGGTTGTAAGTTGTAAATGTCTCAACTCCAAGGGGAAAGGTTTCCCCAGTGTTGCAGCTCTGAAGGGAAAATCCTGGCATTTGTGAACCACGGGATACCACAAAGTCACACAGCACAACAAACCTTTACACAAGAGATTTATTGGGAAAGACACTAGGAGGTGGCCGCCTCTGCTCCGGTGAGAAACAGAAATAACTGAGCAGGAAGCAGACTTCATATAGATTTCTTGGGCAGGAAGAGCTTTCCAGGGTGCCCTGATCTTGGGCCTTTTTTTTTCCCCCTGTTGGGCAGGGCCTGGCCATTTTCCTGCCCTGAGGGGCTGGGTTAGTTGTTTCCTGTAGAGAAGTCTGGAAGGAAGACCTTACAATAATTCACAACATTCTGGTTAGAAAGGAGTAAAACATACGCATTTAAAGCTTATGAACTGTGTATTTCTGTGAGTTTTCCACCTTATATTTTTGGATCAAAATTGAATGCAGGTAAATGAAACTTTCAAAAAATTAAAAATGCAGATGAGAGGGAATTCTGTAATTAATATTTATCACTTATTTAGTTTGATTACTTTTATAGATTGTCTAATTCAATCCTTTCAGTAATCTTATGGAGAACTAATGCTATCTGTTTTCAACTCATTAAACTTAATACCTACATAGACTGTATGAAACCTGAAGTTTCATAGTACTGATGAAAGTGGAATCTGATTACAGTTTATTACAGCAGATTTTATAAATATTTATTTATTTATTATGTATACAATATTCTGTCAGTGTGTATGCCAGAAGGCCAGAAGAGGGCACCAGACCTCATTACAGATGGTTGTGAGCCACTATGTGGTTGTTGGGAATTGAACTCAGGACCTTTGGAAGAGCAGGCAATGCTCTTAACCTCTGAGCCATCTCTCCAGCCCTTACAGCAGATTTTAAAACAAAAATGACAAAATAGTTAAACTTTTTGTAGTGAATTGTATGTGTTCATATTATTTTTTCCTTTTAGGTTCACAATATTCTTGCAGAAATGGTGATGGGGGGAATGGTATTGGAGACCAACATGAATGAGATTGTTACACAAATTGATGCACAAAATAAACTGGAGAAATCTGAGGTAAGGCTGGAAAATGCTTTAGTTAGTGAAGGTTCTGAGCATGCCCAAGAGCTCATGCGTGACTCTGCAGCCTTCACTGTGTGTCCTTCAGTAGAACCTTTAGGTACACCTGGAGTACCCTTCAGTTTCAGAGTGAGCACATTTTATGTCAGAATGTCCCAAGACTGCCAGCCTCCAAAAAGCTTATGTATTCTTTTAACCACAGTGGGAGTGTGCCTTCAAATACTATTTTAAACTGTTTCTGGAGGGAGGAAGAGGAGAGGAAGTAGAATTCTTGAGGAAGTCATGTTTTGTAATAGGTGTTTAGTCAATCTGCACATTGAGAAAAAGAGATTCAGTACTTTATTCTTTTTTAGGTCTTTTCCAAAGCTAAATAACAAGTTAGTTGTATATTTTATTCATTAACACATAAATTGTACTGCATTCTATGATGGAAACCTGTTATTTGTGGCTAACTGAACAGGTTGAGTAAGAACATTTACACTTCCGTGCTGTATGACCCTCCGTTAGAGTTTTAGTCGCTCTTCTCAAGAACTGGGCTGCAGGTCAGCGGCAGGTGCTGTGCCTGACCCACTCAAGTTCACATTATCTTGGGATGTTGCTTCTGACACAAGTGAGAAAGATGAGCAGTCTTGATAACGTACTCAGCATTTCCCTTATTTAAAGACTCTCTTTTGTTTATTTTTTTTGAGACAGAGTCTCACTGCATTTCCCTGGCTGGCCTGGCGCTCACAGAGATTCACCTGTGTCTTTCTCGTGGGCACTGGGGTCTCAGGGCATGTTTACCATGCCCAGCCTTTAAGGATTATTCTTGCATTTTATAACTCAGATTGAAAAACAAAACAAAACAAAAAGAATTATTAGTGGAAGTTCAAATGCATATTGCTGTAAAAAGAGTGGGATTACTATTACTAAATAAATTTATAACAGGTGAGTTCCAAAAATATGATACTTGGTTGGTGATACTTGAAGTTCAGTTTGATACAGTTTTATGCTCATTTTAGTTGAAGGATATATAGGGTTTGAATGAGAAACAGATGAAGCTCCTTATAAAACCACTTTCCTGTATTTTAAAGTAAAGGTAGTCTTCCAGGTCTCTTTCTCTCAATCTGCCATGCCTGTTGGCTTCCCAAAGGGGAGACTTGTGGTGGTGATGCAGAGTGTAAAGTCAGGACTCGGAGCTGTGTCATGTATGTTCTACCACCTGCTTGTGCGTTACTGAGTTGCACAAAATATGCAACAGACAGTTTTGTTTTAGGTCAAGGAAAAGAGCAGTTTTATTTAGTATATTTATTTGTAATATTATTTAGTACAGTAAAAAAAGACTATTAAAATATTGGCTTGAAATGTATGCAAATTGTTCAACATTGCTTCAAAAACTGCGAAAGTAGTTTTAAAGTAGGGTTTAAATGCAAGGCCACAGTAACATAATGCATCACTAATTGCTCTGAAATGAAGGGTTAATTTGTAAACTCTGTAATGATCTGTAATCATACACTGGTCATGTGACTGGTTTGTTTCCTATTGTAGGGACTCATCTCCTGTTAGTGGCAGTCCCTCCTTTTCCTCTTTTTTCTTTTTTTTTGTTTCCTGTTTACTTTGGTTCTATATAGTGTTTTATATATAGTCTTGAATAAGAAGTACCTTTTGCATATTTGGTTTTTCAGTAGACTATGTTAATAAGACAGTTTTTTTTTAAGCTTTGGAGAGTGGCAAGATACAGAATTCACATTTTTGATGGGAATGCTGTGGTTTTATAAAATTGCTATGCAGAGATTTTTTTTTACGGCATAATTTTATTTAAAAAGTTTAGAATATTGGTGCTTGTTTATAATGGTTATCCACTGGCTGTGTTCTAATAAGTATACTCAGCTGTTATCTGCTGCCAAATTATTTTTTTTTCTGCGTGTGTACTTTGCAATAATGTATATTTTAATCAGATAAGGAATAAGCCACCAAATTATGTTATCATGTGTTTCTTTACATTTGACATTCTATTTATTGAAATTATATTAAAATTATATTGACTTCATGCAAGTTGCCATTAACTATATTTTTCAATGTTTGGAAGACCACACACTAAAATTCAAGTTTTCATATGCTTTAATTTTTTTAAGTTAATAACTTCATGTATTTAGACCTAACCAGCCAGGTGGCTCTACAGATGAATTTAAAATTATTTAGAGAGTAAAGTATTAATTTTTAGTAAATTTCAATTATAACACAAAAATAACAAGGAAGACTTAAATAAAATTCAGATTGGTAAAAAGAACTGATCAGATTTTAAAAATATGAACTATTTTAGGATTATCTTCTAGCTTTTGAAAATCATCCCGAATATAATTAAGATATGGCTTTTAAAATATTAATATATTAATTTATTTAGGTTATCTGTCAGAAATCAAATCTAGGGACTTGAAGGTAGTCCATTTCCAGTTTAATTCCCAGCCTCCAGACAAGTAGGACAGGTCTGTCTGGTCCCCAGGAGAAAGGCAAAGGCACAACGATGTGTTTCACCTGTGTGGTGTGAGAGAAAAGATGGTTTATTTTCTTTTGGGGATTTTGGGAGAGACGGGTTTAAGATGGGATATTGGTGGGGGCTGGGGAAATTTGAGAGGCACTGAGCAATCTGCCAGGGAATAAAAGGAATTCTGGGGGTGGTAGAGGGGTGGGGTGGGAGACTTGTTGGAATTATGTACTCTGGTTATTCTTAAGGTGGATAAATGGGTCTGGATTTAGTTACTACTTTTTAAGTCCGTCCTCCTTTTTTCCTGAACATCCTGATCTTTCTAGCTCTTTCCATTCTTCTCTCTTACAGACCTTTATCTTTCAGTCTCCCAGACAGGACAGGTAGACAAGGTATTGCTGACTTTGAGAAAACGTACTTAACAAAGGGAAAGCAAAATGATGTCGAAGGCAATTATTTTTAGGCCAGACTCAAAAATTCTGTGTGTTAATGAACCCATATAGTCCCTGTAGCCTATTTTCCATTCTAGTTTATCCTTGTAGTTTCTTCATCTTTTATTGGACGTAGTGTATTTTACTAGTATATCATTGGCGTCATGTTTGTTCTGTTTTGTCTGCCTGCATTGTAAAAGGAAATTTTAAATTCTTTGTTTGTTTGCTTTTTTTTGTAAAAACATGGTCATTTAATTGAAAACTTCCATTTGTAGAAATAACAATTTACTTTATATGTAAAGTTAATTTTTAGCATCCCCTAGAACCAATCTCAGTTAATTCTATATATAGTTAATATAGATATGCCTGTATTTTTTTTAAATTCTACATTAATGTCCTAATATAAAATTACCTGCTGGGTTTTGGAAGCTATGAATTTGAAAACCAAAAGCCAAACCTTGTGTTTTCTGTATGAAGTGGGAAGCAGTGAATGTGTAGAGTTATGACTGCTAGAGTCCTTTCCTCCAAAAATGGTTTTCAGTTCCAAAGTCTTAACAGAACAGTGGCCAACAAAAAGACCAAATTTTAAAAAGATGAACGAAGTGCTCGAAAAATAAATATATACCAAAATCCAGACATTGAAATGCATTATTATATCTTATAAAACTAAGTTTTCTTGTTTATGCTATACATGTAAAAACCTCCACACTCACCCCACACTCTAAAACACATACATACACACATCTTTGATTGTTCTTGTTTCACACCATAAATTAACAGTGAATTACTGTTTAAAAAGTTTTATAATGCTGATGATAAGCAATCTTTTTTGAACAAAACCATGTTAGGAAAAAACTAAGATGGTTATAAATTTCCAATTGAAAATTTCTGAATCAAATAATTTCCTGAGCCCTACGGTAGATAAGATGCTCTCCAAGCTGACAGCCATTGCCTGCCCTGAAGAACTCGAACGCCTTCCTGAGAGCCCAGCAATCACAGTGTTTTAATCTGCAGGGTCTGAGAAATCGTGATGCACAGTAATAGAGTTATAATACTTATAATTTATGTCTTATTCTGAAACTAGGGGCTATTCTCATGAAGCTCAGATACAACTTTCAGTCCCTGTATCTAAGTATTATTTTCTGGTATGGAAAATATATGACCTCATTCACTTTATTGATTGATATCACCAGCAATTTCTATATTCTAATAATTACTTGTATTAAACTATTTTCTAACAAAAGAGGCAATAACCACTTAGATCTTTTAACTTTTATCCCTACAACTGTAATTGAGTTTAAAGAAAATTAGATATCTGGCTGGGTGGTGGTGGCGCACGCCTTTAATCCCAGCATTTGGGAGGCAGAGGCGGGTGGATCTCTGTGAGTTTGAGGCCAGCGTGGTCTACAAGAGCTAGTTCCAGGACAGACTCCAAAGCTACAGAGAAACCCTGTCTCAAAAAGCAAAAAGAAAGGGAAAAGAAAATTAGGTATCTGTTTCAAAAGAGTAGAGAACAGGAAAAGTGGCCCTAAGATTCAGATGTGGGAAGGCCAACACATGAGTCAATACCTTCTCCTTAACTTGATAGGGACATTTGTATTTTTACAAAATCACCATGCGGACCTTTGAGGTCACGTGTTATTGTCAAAACTACCTATAGTCAACCCCTAAAGGTTATTAGTCTGCTGTATTTATTTCACTCAGGCAAATCCTGTGTCAGATATTAAAACTGTGGGGCCAGAAGTGTATGTGGCATACACCTTAGTCCCAGCACTTGGGAGGCAGAAGCAGGTGGAGTTCAGGACAAGCCTGCTCTAAATAGAGAATCCCTGGCCAGCCAGGGCTACTTAGTGAGACCCTGTCTCACCAAGAGAGTAAGAACAGAGAGAAGTTAAAACTGAAACTAAAGATGATATATAAGTTAATTTTTTGGGGGGTTGAAAAGTTTTGAACATTGAGAATTTGCTAAAATTGTTTATAAAATACTATAGGTCTGACTCAGTAGTTGTCATCAGTTGCTAATGTGCTTGTAGTTGTGATGTTAAACACTGCCTCCAAAACAAGAAACAAGCCTGTTTTGTCTGGCTTGTTGGTTTAGGTTTTTTTTTTTTTTGAGACACAGTCTGGCTGCATGGCTCAGGCTGGCTTTTAACTGAGTTCTGGAACTACAGGTGTGTGCCATTGTGCCCTGCAAGGACAAGGCTATACAAATTCCCAAATTAAAAATTAAACTGCCTCCATTAAGAAATTAAAAGATTTGGGATTTAACTTAAAACATGTCATTATTTTGTTAATGATTTTGATTCTGAAACCATTTAGTACCATGTTTGTTAATGTTGGTCTTATTTGATTTGGCTCTTAGATCAAAGTTATGAATGTTCACATAGCAGTTTCCAGAAGGAAGGGTGAAGAAAGACTTTAGTTTGTATCGATTATCCCAACTACCATCTTATAATGCTATATTTCAAGCTTGAGGAAAATATCTTAAGATGGTAGTATGGCATTTTATACATCGTGAAATAATAAGTACATCATTTTCCCAAGAAAATTGATAGATAGCTGCATGAGGAAAGGAAATTTTCAGGCTCCTTCAAATATATTTTAGCAATGCTGCTTTTTCAGTTTTGCTTGCACATATTTTGTTTATTTTTGGGTCTGGCAATTTAAAAACAAAACCAAAAACGAATCATATCCATCCATTACTATCTTTGTGATTCAGGTGCTTGAAATTTCCAAGAGTCTGTCTGTACAAGTCTCTATCTGTTTGGCCTCATTTTGGTATACCTGCAGACTTCATTTTGTTTTCTTTCTCTTAATTCTGTTAATTTATTTAATCTCACGGGAGAGAAAACATGACCATCCTTTTCTCTATGGTACTTCATTCTGTCATCCAGTTCATACTCTTAGCTGCTTTGGATCCATATATTTGTTTTTGTTAGTGGAGTGGCCGCTGCTTAGCCGCCATGGTAGTGCGCTAGTGCAACAGGTGGAGACAAGTTATTTCTCTAGTACAACTTCAGTCTTCTTATTTTTGCTTTGTGTCCACTATGCAATCTTAAACCTTTACGAGCTATACTGTTCTGCCAAGAATAGCTTATTTTTACATTTTAAAATTTTATAATTTTTGTTATTAAAAACTGAGGTAAAATTTATTTCTGTAAATGTTGCTGTTGGAAACAGTTGTTAGTAAAAGTTATCCATATACTTTGGGTACATCTTTCCAAAAGAAAAAAAAATTCTTCACTAAGATGAAAATTACTTTCACCTGTGTCGGAAAACTGATTTCCTAATGGGAAATTGTCTTTTCCATAGTTTACTTTTTAGCAAAAAAAGTTTCAGACTTGACAGTCATGGACGTCTGAAAATCAAATTTATTTTCTGTTTTGATGTTACATGAGTAACAGTCCTTCTGTTTAAATCATAGTTTATATTCAAACATCTATAGCTCATGCCAGCTTTGTGTAGTGACCAGTAGTCCCGTTTTTCTTCATACATTCTGCAGAATCTGTGCTCCTTAAATCTTGGCTTAATTAAAATTAAAACATACATTTCATTGTTTACTACCACTTACTTTCCTGATAGACATACTACACAAAAGCATTGAACATGCTTGAGAAATAATTTGATTCTCTAATTCATCTGCGTGTTCTATATAACCCCCATCCTCTGCATGTACAGCTTGCTGCATATGTTTAGAAGAGATGTAGATGGTGGTACTTAGAAACTGCTGGTTTTGCACAGTAAGAATATGGCACGTAAATGCCATTGCAATCATTTTCTGTTGTGCCTTTATATAGTCTCACGAGCAGCTAAGAGTTGACAACATCTTTGCTCACAGAAATGGTTTAGTGATTGACAGGATGGTTTTCTTTTGCCTGAGCTTAGTTAGCTGTACACCTGGTATTATAGAAAACAAGGCTTCATGGTAGATAATACTGAAAAAATAGGTTTCCTGTTTATAAAGGTAAAATATAAAACCAATAAAATAAGACATGTATTTTTTACAATAATAAAATCTTTTAATAATTTATATCCTTAAAAATATTTGCATTAAAATGCTTTCCTGTCAACTCTTCATTTGTAATCCTTAATGTAAATTCCACGGCTAAAATAGTAATGAATTGATCTTGGAATTTGAAATTTTACCAAGTCCTCCTTTGCCTGGAAAAGTTATGATAGTCCCAGATCTCTACAGCTTTAAAATAATTTCTGTTCCCTTGCATCCAACATACTTTTGGGAAAAGAAAATTTACAGGGTAGTAAATTCCTTTGAACTGGAATCTTCTTTGCTCCTGAGTCATTCCAAATTTTGATAGCTAGGACTTTCACTTGAAACTATCAAATTAAAGAGCCTTTTGAATGTGATATATTTTCAACTCTATTATTCTGAAGATATGACACTCACCTTTGGTGGGTGGGAAAGAAGTAGGGTACACCATAAACTTCCTTGTTTCAGGTAGGTACAAATGAAGAAGTCAGTCAGACTTTTAATTTTATATCAAAAACAGCCTCCATTAAATTATGGAAATTGAATTCTCCCACCCTGTCTGGACTTGGACATAGAGCTTTCATCCATTATCACCATATCATTGCCTGTGTAGACCATCTCTAGTAGTCATACAGTTTAACGAATTTCTCTATTTCCAACCCTAAATTGATAATCCATGGCTTTTATTTTATTGCTTAACAATGTTTGTATCCTTTATTCAGCACATAGTTTACACTGGCCTATTTTGTATCAGTCAAGATTTATCTCAGGTAACAACAGCTTTATTATTACTATTATTTTAATTAAAAGAGGTAGGATTACAGAAGAAAAATGTAAATTATGAAAAGGGACTTTAAAACTATTGCTTCTAATTTCATGGATATTGTCTTTTCATATATGTAATTGAGCAAAGGGGAAGTGTTTGTTTTGTGTAAAACAGTGCCACTCAATTCAGATGGATTTGTTGGCTTTGCTTTTTATATAGTCTGAATTTTTAAAGACAGTGAAATCTTATTGGTGTATGTTAAATCTTGACAGTGAAGCCTATTAATTTAACTCAAAAATTATATATATGTAGAGTTCTCTCAGTTTAAATCATAGTTTCTAACAAATTATCTAACAAATTACACAGGTTCCTTCTAGAGGAATCCAAGTATATGCACTAATGGTGATAAGTGAAATTTAAACTTCATTTCTTTATGTAGACTGTTCTTTCTCTAAGTTTGTGTGGTTGAAACTCAGCATGTTGTTGAGTCTAATCAGAGGACAAAGCATGCTTACTCATTTGATTCCCACTAATGGCTTGCTCCATGCAGTTTCAGTCTTAGGAAGAATTATTCTTTTTGGATTAAGGCTTCCCTAAAGATGTAATATTCTTTTAATGTTTTAGACCTTTCTTAGAAACTTTGGAAGAGCCCCAACAGTAATAAGACCAATTTCATTGTTTTAAAATGTAAGGATTTAGCCCTGAATGAAGAAGCTAAATAATTGCTATTATTTTTGTTTTATAAACATATATTATTTCCATTTTAAAATAAAAACAAACCTATCATGTTTGTTTCAAAAGATGTTTAATAAGGAAATTAATCTAAATCATTCCTCAAAACTGATGTCTGTTAAATTGTAGCTAAAATTTACCTTTTATTTGAACACTGTGTGGTATCTGGGTAGCACACATAACTTGTACTTAAATCTTTCTTTACATTGTTATTGCATGTATCCATTGTATTTTCTAATGTGTCAGCTGTTTTCTCTTTATAGATTAGTATTTCAAAGTAACCATCTCATACTGATTCAAACTGCCATCTGGTCTCTAAGCTTGTTATGTGAAAACCTTTTACCATTGTCCTCCATTGCTGAGTTTGTTTGTAATGAGCTACACCTGAGTTGTACATTTTCTTTTTCTTTTATTTGCTTCTGTATACAGGCTGGCTTAGCAGGAGCTCCAGCCCGTGCTGTATCAGCTGTAAAGAATATGAATCTTCCTGAGATCCCAAGAAATATTAACATTGGTGACATCAGTATAAAAGTGCCAAACCTGCCCTCTTTTAAATAAAATATTAAAAAGGCCACTCCCAGGTAAATCCAGAGGGAAAGTCATCTAAGTTTACCATGCAGTTGTTTACCAAAAATAGAGGAGGAGAGTCTTAACTTTGCTCTTGGATTTAAGTCAAGGTACTGTATAGAAGCTGCATAAAATCAGTATGGAAGTTCAATGTTGCTTTTCTTGCTCAGTGATTTTAAAGAAATTGAGTGGTTCCAGTGTGATTATTTTTTCTTTTCTAAATTGCATTCCTATGCCCACATAAAGGCATGCCTCTATATATTGGCTATTACAGTATTTCGAAAAGTGAGATGTTTCTTTAATTATGTACAACCCAAAATGTTGATGTTTTGTATGGATCACAAGTGCAGCATTCTCTAATTCTTTCTGCTGTTTGTCACAATTGTTATTTAAAGAACCAAGTATGTATTGCATGAAAACATGACCTTTTCCTTAGTTTAAATAAACTCCAAGGTAGCTGGACTTCTAAAGTACCTTTCTGTTTTGCTTGGTATCTACTTTAGCAATAATTTTTTTTACAACCTTCTGACTCAACAAAGTAAATAAAAGTATATTTTACCACTGTTAAACACCTGTCAGTGTTGACTTTCTCAATTCACACTCATGTTTTTATTCCTCAGAAGCTCACAGAGTCGTTGGGAAGCTGCTGTGGCACAGACGGAGGACTGTATTTCAGCGTGTTTGTTCTGTGTGATGAGGCTTGTAGTGCGAGAGGACATTATCTTTTTCAAAAATGTTAAAGAACTGTTTTGTTTTCCTATAAATAGCTTTGCCTTAAGCTCTTTGCCTCCCATTCTTGCCCAGATGATGCCCAGTGATGTCAGCTGGCACCTGTTAGTGAGGATTCCAGTTCCTGCTGTAAAATTACAGCCGAAGGAACTGCTGGGTCCTGATTGGTTGGTTTTGCCTTTTAACCTCTGGCATGTGTTCTGATGTTTGGCCCATTGGACTGTTTCGTCTCCTGTGGTCTTACCTTGAGAACCGAGGGTTTCTTTTCAAGTTAGACCATGGTTTTCTATACAGTTGTTTTTCCCAGACATGTTTTTTTTGAAGCACTTCTACAGATTTGTTTTACATATGAATTTTACTCTAAGAACGCCGTAAGAAAAAAAAATCACTTTCATTTCTTTCAAGCTTTGTCTGCTTTATTTCTCCACTTTAAGCAATGAGACAAAACCATATCCTGTTGTTCTTAGGGGTGTTTTTTTTCTTACACCGAAGCATATTTCTCTCTCTGTGGATTCCTAGTATGGAATCATACTGAGATAAAAGAAAATTGAACCTTCAGTTTTTAAAATTACCACCAGCTTTGAGATAGTAAAAAAAAGACTTGGGGGAAAGTCATACAAGCGGAAATTTGTGGGATAAGCATGGTCAGGAAGAAAAACTGCAGAGCCCACATCCAGGGATGTGCTTCAGATACTGAGAAACTGCAGGAGACGGCAGTGGAGCGAGTTACTTAATGCTCCTGCTGTTGGTCTTGTAGGTGTTTCTCCGAGGCTGGCGTACTGTGAGGCATAGTCAGTCACGTGAAGCGTTTAGATGTGTCAGAGTAAAACAAGGAAGAAATGTTCTTTTGAACATAGATTATTCATGTTTGTACTCCTAAACCACATCAAAATGACAGAAGTTTTAAAAATTACTCAGATGCAAAGTGTCACGAAGAATTGCATTTTGGGAGGGAGGCGCTTGTAAGTGAGCAGGATGCACATAAAGCCATCCTGCAAAGGTGAGTGTTAGTCAGGCGGCAGGAAGTCTTGAAGTATGCGGGCTCACACAAACGAGCCCCCCAGTTTTAGGAGCTGGAGGTACTAGAGCACTTAGAATGAAATTACTTCTATAGGTCTAGAAAAATAAATTGACTTCGATATTTCCCCTGTTGCCTGTCCTCTCTGCAAGAGATGGCAGGGACAGGCATGACTTAAGACTGAGCACTGATGTATGGCAGAGGACCCTAAAAATCAGCCAAATGGTGATTTAAGTCAGGTCAGCCAGACTTAAATATCCCTCAACTCTGCCTTTGGAAAGGAGAAGACACTATTCTTCCAGGAGAAAAGACGTGTGTGTGTTGTTATTGTTGTTTTGAGACAGGTCTCACTCTGTATCCCTAACTGATCTGGAACTCTCTGGGTAGACCAGGCTGGCTTGGAATTCACAGAGCTTCTCCTACCCAGCATCAAACCTGCAGTTATTAACTGAGAGCTTCTCACTGATGTCAGCCGGCCATGTCACACTCCAGTAAACCTGTGCAGGTGAAAAGTCACTTCCCATGCTTCCTGTCAGGTCGTTAGGCCCGTGCTCTCAAGCAGATAACCCCACATCACCTCTATTGATGACTGGGAACATTGGAAGCTAGAAGCCAGTGCAGACAACACAGCCAAACTTAAAGGTTAAACACTTAAGAAATGAAGAATTCTCACTCTCTCCAACTTAATACCACCGTGTTTCACTGCAAAAGTACTCTCAGCTGCATACTCTAGCTGCTGCCCTAGGAACCAGTTCTTCATTGTCTTGGCCCTCTGCCCTGCAGCTGGGTGTTACCCTCCGTATCACTGCCTGCCTTCCCTGGGACTTCGCTGTCCACGCCAGATGGAGCAGTGGAGGAACCCTCTTAGCACTCTGTGTGTGCAGTTCTGAGGTGAAGGCAAGCAACACCGCCTGATATGTGAAAATGGAATAAACATTTCTCCTTTTCCACACTTTTAGGGAGACAGTTCTGAGGATACTATGAAAGCGTCTCTCAATAATTTTCATGTATTAAGAGTCTTTTGTAGCAACAAGCAACCCTAATACTCTTTGTTTTAAAACATTCTGTTTGTTTAAAACAGTTTGGGAAGTAAATGAAATTACTGGATGAATATAAATTGTGTGTCTGCTCTCAAAGTTCCTGAAGAAGACTTTGAACTCTTTATCCTCCTGCCTCTACCTCCCTGGTGCTGAGATTGCTGGCCTGTGCCACCATGCCAAGCACAGTTACTGGATATATTTTATATATTATAGAATTGAATATTTAATAGAAGGATTAGGAGGTAAAGTTCAAACAGTTTCTAGAAAAATAAATTAAAAGACATTTGGGAAATAAAAGGTAAAATCAGAGAATCATTCCATGAAATTCTGTAGGTTGAGGCATCAAAAAAGATAGGGAATAATTTGGCCTGTGTTTCCCCATCATCCATTTTTCTTAATATTTACTTGAATTGTAAAAGCTTAGGGGTCAAAAGGCCCACAGAGTACAAGCGAAAAAGACTAATATAGTGCCCTAGTTGGCCTGGTACTATGTAATAAAATAACGTACATTGGGTAGATTATAAGTGGCAGAAACTTATTTCTCAGTGTTCTAGACTAAGAAATTTCAGATGAAGAAATCGGCAGATTTTTTGTATGGCAAGTGCCAGGTTTTCTGGTCCAGACAGACACCTCCTAGTTGTGTCCTCAGAAGATGGTATGGACTAGCCAGCTCTCTGGAACCTCTCACGGGCATTAATCCCATTCATAAGGGCCCTATTACATGATGTGATCACCTTAAAGTAATTGAATTCCTTCTTTATACCCTTGTGTTGGCAATTAGCATTTCAACATGTTTTTGGCAGTATCTTAGTCTCTTTGAGGTGCTGTAAAAGCTATGAGTGGTATTCTGCAAGTTTCCATTCAAGATCAAGCCTTCAGCATATTTGCTTTTAGGTAACGTCACATTCCTAATAAAAGGCATCTGCTTGCTGTGTCTTCACATGGCAGACAAGCTTCCTTAGGTGTGTGTGTGTGTGTGTGTGTGTGTGTGTGCATGTGCACATGCATGCATGCAGACATGTGCATTGCAATACATCCCTGGAGGTCAGAGGACAACTTGGGTGAGGTGGTTCTCTCTCTCCACTGTGTAGGTTCCAGGATTGAACTAAGGCTTGTCAGCAAGTGCCTGTATTCTGTGAACCATCCTGTTGGCCTTCTGTTAGTACCCTTAAAACATTATTCATGAGAACCTCACTTCTATGACCTCGTTATATCGTAAAGACTCTATTTTCTATATTATTATAATTTTGGGGATTAAGGTTTGACTTGTTTCATCATTGGACAGGGACATGCTCAGATCCTAATACCAAAACATGATTCTAAAATCTGTGAGGAAGTAAAGATAAGAAAAATGTCACACATACAATAAAAATATTTTATAAACTGCAAGGAGAAATGACTTTTAAACTCTGAAGAAAAAATTTAAGCACAACTCTGCCAGTCAAATTTTCAGTTACATGTGAGATATACATACCTTTTGAGTCTTAATACTAATACAAGGTTTTACTCAAAATAACCTTGACAGTATAACAATGTCAAAGTGAGGGGAGTCTTTAAATATTTATATTTTAATGCAGCTGTATGTATGAATTACCAGGATAAAAAAAAAATCTAAACAAATCTGTTAAGTAGGGCTTTTTTTTTTTTTTTTTTTTTTTTTTTTTTTTTTTTTTTTTTTTTTTTTTTTTTTTTTTTTTNTTTTGGTTTTCGAGACAGGGTTTCTCCGTAGCTTTTGGTTCCTGTCCTGGAACTAGCTCTTGTAGTCCAGGTTGGCCTCGAACTCACAGAGATCCGCCTGCTGCCTCTGCCTCCCGAGTGCTGGGATTAAAGGCTTGCGCCACCACCGCCTGGCAAGTAGGTTATTTTTTAACAAATTCCTCAAGTCTTAAATATGTTAAATGTTCAAGAAGAAAGAACCAGAGTATATTGTAAGAATTAAAATACTTTTTGTGGGTCTACAAAGTAGTTGGTATACAATTTTTAAAAAGGGTTGGTAAACCAAACATAGCAAGATTACACTAATGATTAGAAAAGCAAGTCAGCAATATCAGTATCCAGTAAACCCATAGTGATGCTTGACCTCACTGGTAATCAGGGAGCACGGGCTAAGGAACAGTTAGATGTTATTCACGTTGTCTTGGCAAAAATTAGTGGAGTTGACTTACAGCTAATGGTAGAGATGACTGAAGGAAACAAGAGATTGCTCATATTGATACCTGGGGTACGATTTACCCTAACATTTTAAAGAATATATCAAGTTCTATAGAAATTTTAATGAAAAATAAACATACAAATATCTTGTGACAACCTTTGTTGTTTCTGTATTCATGCAGAATTCCTTCCTATCATTGTTTCTCTTTTAAAATAGAATCTGTGTGTTTCTAGTGTTAACCTTCAGGATCCTCCTGTCTTAGCCTCCTAAGTTCTGAGACTTCAGGTGTGTCCCACAACCCCTGACTGATGTCTTTTAATATAAAGACATTTATTACGATGATTTTCTACCAACCAAAATAGAACATGAAATCAACTAATTGTTTATCTACCAGAAAAATGGCTACAGTATTTAGAAACTGCCATACTTATAATAGCAAATACTAGGATGAGCCAGTGTCTGTCAAGGATTGACAGAAAGGCCATGTTGCATCCATACCGTACAATCCCAGGGCGCTGCCAGA